ACAATCTGAGCATGTTTCACACGAGTTTTTTTTTTAAGGTTCAACAATAGTAATAATAGTAATTGAATGTATGAAGGGTAAATCTGGTAAATCGCTGAAATCCTTCGAAACTTGACATGAATCAAATCCCCCGGGGTTAGATTATCCGACAAAAAACCAGTACATGGAAAATGTCAAGTTCGGACCAAAGGCGTAAATTTATTGTTACGAAAGTCGGCGATAATAATTAAAGTCACTTTGTTTATGCGAACGTCATTGTTTATATTTGGATTGGTGGGAATTTAGAACACACAAAAAAAGTGTGGGGTAAAAAAAAGACGTATGTACACCTTACGGGAAAAAGAAAGAGTTCCGAATACACCCGAGAAATGACTCGATCTTTACAACATTTTGATCTGCTGTAGCTAGAGCTAGATTCCTTCTTCATGTGCAAAAGAAAATTTCCCGTGAGACCGGATATACTGTACGTACGTCAACTCACGGATTTGATTCGTCGCACATTTTATTATTAGCACGGAATGAGCTCACGTGATTATTAGTCACGAGTTTAATGTTTTTCCAATACAAAATGAATTTCCAAATCAGGAAGAAACCAATCAAGTGAATAAAGAGAAGAGGTTGTGTTACAGTTACAAACTTCTTGACCACATGTCTTGTTCCCTCACAGTGACTTGTCAAATAAGGCGCATACACCCAAGGTATCCTTTCGTCGACTGCGATTGTTATTTTGATACCTCGACTACTAAGTAAGTAAGTAAGTAAGTAAGTTCTCTTTTCTAAAGGGAACCGCCTGAACAATGAACATTCGAGTGACGCCATTTCCAAATTAAACTCGACATTCTAAACGTGAGTCTTACTGTACATGAAAGCTAACCGTGATCGCGCATGCGAACAAATTTTAAGAATTCGACTCTGTCGAGTAGTGCGTGCGCATGCAAGACATCTCACCTGCGTGGTGGTAACAAGAAGGGCATCTCAATTTTGTCGAGCGAAAAATCTCAATGAACTTTCCTGAAAGAATAAGCACCGATGGATGCGTGCATGCCATTGGGTAATGGGAGAAAACAAATATGCATGGAAATGTGTCAAGAATGAAACGAGTACCTTTCTGGACTACTAATTGAGCATGTTTTATGCATCCTATCGTTACGTCAAATTAGCTGAAATCTGAAATTGTGCACAGCACAGATCGAATCCAGGCTAGTTGAAAGGAGCAAACCAAATGAATGGTGTGAATTGAGACAACAATAAGGTAAATGCACGCTCCACCTGTTCAGCCGAAATCTCGTCGCGTTATCCTTTAGGTAGGAGTGCATACATCGAATCAAAAAATGAATAATACGAAGCGCATTTCATTTTTCCAAAGGTAATAGGTATTTGGTGTATCTTCGCTTTCAGTAGCCTCATGTGTCTTGAGCGGAACACCCACGTTAGCTAGAAAGTCACGCATATTTGTTTACCTGTGTTTGACACATGATCGAAATAATCAGCAAAGTTTAAGAAAAATTTGGTGTATTGAACAATGAGGAAAAATGCGTGCTACAAAGAGTAATTTTCTGAAAGAATTTCTGAGAATCAGGAAACCACGACCATTCGTCTCATGAAAAAATTAAATAATAAATAATCATTTGGAACAGGAAACAATACTTTTTTGTGATCAGTCAGATTCGAATATTTTTTCGTTTCATTTATTTTATTATTATTATATTACAACAGTATCAAAAAGCGTTCGCGCACTTCTTGATCGAAACCTATATTTTTCGGTGGATGTGCGAGTGCTTAATTTATTTTCCATATTTTTTAAAGTTTTCTTTTTCCTTTTTTTTTTTTTTGTTTTTTTTATAAAAAAAAGAGAAATCGTATAATTGGTTTACTTGCGCTTGTCATCCTTAATAGTCCATCTTATTAATTATTATATGAATGTTTTCGTAGTGACAATGTTCGTGAATTAGAATTAAGAGGAAGTAGTTGAAAAATGGTGTGAAGGTTGACGAAATAAAAATAAATATGTGCAAAAGAAAGGGAAATAAGAAGAGGGTTGCTTTATTATTGACTACCGAAAGAAGAAAAAGTGCCTAATCTTTTATTACATCGCGTTTTTCGTGTTGAATTTTGAATGCGTGATTGTTTTTTTTTTGTGTGGAAAATCAAGAGAAAAAAAAAAGAAATGCTTGAAACTATTATGTACAAAAGTTTGGGGTTTTGCAGTTCCTTGTTTTCCAAAAAAGTTTTTTTTTTTTTTTATAGCAAATGTTCAATTCTGTCACTAAATCCAAACCAGATAATTAAACCTAATCACCCTCGCATTCCCTCGATGGTCGCAAGTAAACCATTGAAAAACAAACCAAAAATAAACTAGACTAAAAAGAAATGTTCATTGAATTGTCAATATCGGAGATTGTTTAATCGACTTTTTCCTTGCAACTTCCGTGTTGCTCGTTACTGCGGTGCGGGATATCGGGGTGTCATGAAGAAGAATTCCTCCTCTTCCTCTTCATCGGTCTCCAGTGGATCCCAATCATCCGCGCTGTTGCTCCCGCTTGAGGAGTCGGTGATGCTGCTTCCATCATTAAAATCTGCGAATCTAACAAACTTGGTGATCGAAGACGAACGTCGCGAACGAGGTTGGTTGCTGACGGCCTTCTTCGCGTACATCATTTCTTCGCTGGTGAAATTTGGGTAGCGACTGTTATCTTCTGAGGAGGTTGAAGAGCAAGAAGAGGAAAGTGAACTAGAACGCTTGGAAGGACTGTAATAGCCGTTGACGTTCACCGGTTCGGTGGCTCGGAGGTAGGTATCAAATGCCGGGGGTTTTCGCAGATGCTTTTGAATGATGCGACTTTTTTTACTTTGTTTCTGTGGTGTCGATGGTAGATAGAAAGAACCCGTGGTCGTTACGGGAGAAGAAGTCAGAGTAATCGATGTGGTGGCCATTGCCTGTGATTTTGTGGTGGTGGTAACATTGGGATACGATGTGTTTAAGATAAGTCTTGGGATAGAATCTTTGCGAGAGGTTGTATATGTTGTCGTCGTCGTTGCGGACTTCATTGTTGTGATTTTTTTCTGGCGAGAAGAGAGAAAAAAAAAAAATAGTTTTCCTGGATAATAAAAAAAAAAAAACAAAGGTTTTTCCAAACTCTAGCGTTTTGGCGACGTGGTGAAATAAAGTTTTGATTTTTTCAGAGAGATATTTTTCTTTGGAGGTATATATTTTTTTTTTTTTTGGAATGTTTGACGTTTGGAAATTTTTTTGTGGAGAAGAGCAAAGGAACAGTGTGCCTTTTTATTTTGATATTTCAAATACAATAAATAACTAACTGTACATGGTAGAGTAGCAACTGCCGTACAATAGACATATAAATAAACTAACAATTTATACAAATGTCGTTAATCTAAATTCAATAGAGTTGTAGATGAAAACCTGTTAATATGTGTGTGTATATGTGTAATCCTTTAATATTATATCAGAATAGAAAAAAAAAAAGAAAAAAAATTTTTTTTTTTTTAATGTAGGATGTGCACATTTTTATTACGGTAGGAAAAAAAAAAAAATGAGTAGCGCCATGTACAGTGTATATAAATGTTCTCTTTTGCGATGCATAAATTATTAAAGTGTATTGTTATAATTATTATATTTGTTTTTTTTCAAAGATAACATTATGATAGACTATTTACTATACGACAGGTTTTTAATATGACGGAAACCTTGGTACATATTAAAGAAGCAATATAAATAATAACAAATAGACTGGATTGAAAAAAAAAAAAAAAAAAAAGGAGATGTCTTTTTTTTTTTTCATTTATTATTAACTACGAATCTGCATCACTAATAAGGCACAAATACTTATTTGCCTGATGAACAGAAGTTCACATTGACCGCTTTTCACAGTCACACCCTCATTATCGAAAGCGTATCTCACTTAATTGAAAGAATGGAATGGAATGTATAAGGGATAAAAAATAAGATAAAATAAAATAGATAAACGGATGGATAACCAAGTAAATGGTAAATAATAGTAAATAAAAATTAGGTGTTTCTTTTTCTTTTTGCCATCTCGTCCATCGATAAGCAGTTTCTGGTAGCCTCCAAAGATATCCCACTCTAAAATTTAGAGAGAGAGACACGTCGTTTGCCCTTTCATTCGTTTGTTCGTTCGTTCGTTCCTTCATTCACATCTCTTTCATCTGATGTCACTCACGAAATAACATAAGAAAAATAAACTTGATAAATTGAATCACGGGTGCAATAACACACACATGTGTCTTTGAGGTATTTACAAAAAAAGATATTGAATTGTGGTGATGTAAGGTGTCATAGGTGATAACTTTAGATAAAGGACTCGTGATAAACGGTACAGCGTGCACAACAGAATGTGATGCTGATTTCACCAAATGAATGGTGATACACCTGACAATATCCCATTGTAGCAGGCAAACCATCATTACACAATTGTATCCGCTACATCGTCTCCTCTCATTGTCTTTCAACAAATGAGTCATTCGGAATACGCCAATTTTAACGTCCGGTTTCAAAAAAAGTCATCCGCAATACGACAGCCTGCATCATGATCACATTCTTCGCACTCGGCGAACGAACGAACGTACCAACCAACCAACTCGCAACAAAAAGATGCGTGATAATGAAAAGAATGAGAACGCAGTTTTCTCAGATCAAATGGAATCTTTATCGATCAACACAATTGACCTGCGCCATGAAACACCCTTTCAAAAAAGCAGGTTTATGACGTAAGGAAGAAGTTGAATCCACCTTGAATGTGCACAAATCAGGCTTATCGGACGTCGAACACGAAGGATGAATGAGGAGAATTCGTTGTTGTGCCAAACAAACAATCCAAAGGAAAGCCAGTTGAAGAGTGATGCCAGAGATAATGCTTTGACAAAGAGACAATGGAATCCGCATTCTTCCAAAAAATTTTTACGCCCAATGCCTCGAAATTCTTTCAACTGGTGCATCAAGGCACGAATCGAAAGATGTCCAATTTTCGCAAGAGATCCGCTAAACCTCTTTGGTCAAAAATTATTGGGCTTGATAAAGATGGACCGATAAAAGATCGTCGAAAGAGGAAATCTAACAAAGCCCTCCGAGAATGTAACAGACATCTCGTTTTGCCATTCTATGATGACGACATACTGTAAATGTGGCTGGTAATGCACGGTGGTGATGATTTCGGAAGTGATCACTAGCATTAGGCGAATGAAATGTGACGAAAGAATGCGTGATTCGCCGGAAGATGCGGTCAAGCCTCACAATCATTGTCGACGCCGAGTGACGGTGTGGTGGTACGCACGTTACACAATTGGTCGACGACGCTACCACGTGCCACCGATTTGCCGACCGCACACATTATTTACATTTTGTTACCTCTTTTCTGCATGCACATTATTATTCTATCGTATATACATGGAAAATAGGATAAGAAAGAAACGGAGAACAATTCTCCTATTATCATCATGTACATTAAGACCTAACAATTAACGCGATCCTTAATCTAGGGATTTTTTTTTAATTGTGGTCCAATGAAAAAATTTTTTTTCTACATTCGTAACCTAGACTCATATGACCACACGTATCATCGAGCCACCCAATCCTGTTCTAGCCTCATAACAAATGACCGCCAGTTTGTCGGATACAATACGGTCGTTCATATTGTTCCTTTGGAAGAGGAAATGAAATAATTTTATTTTTTATTCCTATTATCAATTCAGATACAAGGAGTGAACGAAAAAAGCCATTGCGAATAATGCATTCAGGATAATTTCGTATGCCAACATTTTTTGCCGACTCCGATGCCGAAAGACGTCGAGAAAAAAAAAGGAAATAGATAATAGCAATGGCTACATTTTTGTTGAACCACAGAATACCAAAAAAATAAAATAATAATAATAAAATAATAATAATAAATGATAATAATATGCAAACGCATTCAACGTAGAAACAAAGCATGGAAGGTAAAACTGTGGCTGAGAAACTTTTGCGGAGATGTAGGAGAATCGAACCACGGAATAAGAAAATTAGAAAGAAAAGCACTTATGTACGTGCGTGCGTCACATTACATCCGTATGCGAACATCATCCCATTGGATATTGATGTTTTACTGTAAATGTATGTACTGTATGTATAGTATGTACAGTACATATGCTAGCGTTGATTAAATGCTCTGCGAGGATTGCTTCAATTGGATTCTATCGATGCATTCGGTTTTCGACGGTATATTCATCCATCCTTTCATTAACAAAAACGGGTTGGACAGTCGAGGCATCACGATACGCCTCCTGATTTTAATTTTAAGTTTTATTTTATTTTAGCTTTTTAATTTCATTTTACTTTATTTGTCTGACGAAAGGACAATTCACCCTCTCCTTACCAAAACATTTTAGCCCAAAGGCACAAGGGTTCCAACGTTTCCTTCTTTCAATTTACCGCCTCCAATGAAAACCAATCACCTGAAGCACGATTACGCAAGTCAAATATTATCTTGCCAGTTGGGTTTGTTTTTCTTTCCCCGCATTTTTGCTCTTTATCCCCCCATTACCAATAGTTAACCTTAAAACGATTGCATCATTATGTCATGAGAAACAACCTTAATTTTCGTCGACCATTAGGAGGCGTTGGAACGCCTTTACACAAAATCTTTCATCCGTCGATTGATAAGACCATGTCGTGTATTATTGAGTTTAAAAAGTCTGGTTACACCAGAGCGAGCGGGAAGGCGGGAAGAGGTGGTCTTTTTTTATTTTCTTACCTAAATCGTCCAAACCTTCCATCTCCAATGTACCTCTGGCCTCCAAAATCAAGCTTGGCACCTTCTCGCTCACCTCTTTTTGTCTCGCATACGTAATCATTTTCATTTTCCACCTTCAAATCGATCCCATTTCAATGAACTTTTTAGTGATGATTTTCTTGTGGTCTATTGTTCTCAATAGAGAAAGAAAGTAAGTAAACAATTCTCGCATTCTTTATTACGCTCATTACGTTTTGCATTTGCATACATTATATGCATACATGCAGCACATACCTGTTACTATAGTAAAACCATCGACCGAGACGATCCGCCGATTACTGGCCTTCGAACCGCCTTAGCTGCCTGCTTGCTTGCCACAATGTCATGAGTTTTTCTCTTTATTGGTCAAATTAATTATCGGGTCAAGAGTAAACTTTCAGGTTCACAAACACTATTCCGGCAACTGGAAATTTCAGGAAATTGTATTGTGGCGTGAACACAAGAAAAAAGAATCGACCACAAAGTTTGTTTTGTTACCCATATACTTTAAGAGTGTGCGGATCAGAGGCAAATTTACACAAATTTGGAATTTTTCATGAACGTGGAGAGCATATGACCTATTAGCGAAACGCTGGAAAAAAAAAACCTTTTTTTTTTTCTTTCCTTTTTGTTTCACTCTCACTAGACAAGATGAAATTTGATTTGCTTACATAATGAACATCTTGTCTATCACGTCACACGGTCAAAAGTTAATCACGTAAGCAGCAGAACTCTTTGTCGACCATCATTCAGAAGACTGTTTAGGAAAAATTTGGTCTCTAATATTTACTTGCAATTACACAGTGATCAATTTTACACAAACACAATTTTCAAATGACCAAGCGACGTTATCTATCGCGTGTATTACAATTCGTGAAAGTGAGTAGGGATGGAGGTGTCGAGGAATGAGACCTTTGACGGTAACGAAAATTTGAAGTCATTAGATAAAGAATAAATTTTAGGAGCGAGAGTGTGATGCCTTTGGGACAAAACAAAGACATTTCTTCCCTCGAGACCACCAGCCGTGGCCGCGCTACATGAGGAAGACACGGAGGATTCAGGAATTTGAATCGGATAATAACGGAATGGTCAAATATTATTCAAGGCTTGTTGACTGCTTCTCGTGAGCCATTCTGGTGTATAAACGTGTTAAAGATAAATGCTTGTTCTTTCGGAAAGACGGATAATAATGCCTTTTTCAAATTATTTTGACCCCCTTTGATTTGTACTCACAACTATCATGCAATGTCACAAGAGAAATAATGACGCCATACAGTCACCACAGCATTTCCAGTAGCATCTTTCATTTAAGGATCATGGTGTACAATGCAACCTAGGAATATGTTCTAGTGACATACAGTATCTTACAATAAGGTAAAAAAGAAAAAAGAAATCACGGTACACACTCCGCATCATTACCCTTTTGAACCTTCAAGGTCAAAAATGAATTCTTCCCATATTCGGCAATAAACTTGAACCAATAGTTTTCGACCTTCTCATTTGATATTATCTTGCTTGTCCCTTTCAATTCCTCTTTTCGTAAGCGCACAACTTGTCGAGAGCTGGTCTTTCTTGACAATCATAGATTCTTCGTGATCGAGCGTTAAAAATTGAAAGGGCATGCGTGCGTGCGTATGTGTATGTATTAATATTTTGGTGACGAGAACAATAACGGGAACAACAAAGACCACGACAACGACAACGACATATAACGATAAAGATAACGATAACAAAACAATAGGGACAACGACGACAGCGGTAATAACAATCACGGGCGCGTTAAAATTGTTATTAATTCAATAGCTTCGTGATAAACCACGCGTGAATTCATCAATTCACTGTAAACGTGTGAGATTCGGGTGATTATTGATTAAATCAAATCGTCCGTTGACATAATCAATTGTTTTGTTCATAGCCACGCACAAACAACTAATGCTACCAGCCTTGTCGGTGTAGTAGATCTGATTCTTACCGATTTTGCAATCTCATTACGTAAGAGTACTGACCATAAAGGAGAAGAGAAAGAGGGAAAGAAGCAGGCAAATTGATAAACAAAATGTGTCTTGCTATTCTTCGCATGACGTATCTTCGAAGGCAAGTTTAAGGCTTAACCAAGGATCTCAATTCTCACGACCATGGCAAAATGAACTTAGCCACCAACTTCAATGCTACGTGATGATGAATGGGCTTGTCCAAAAGTTTCTCTTTGAGATCTTGGGGAAAATTAATCTGACTCGTATGATCGGTAAACTTCTCTCCCTTCCTCCATCTCAAAATATGCTAGACTCACCGGTTTTCCTTTTTTAAGGATTATGTACAGTACTTCGTTCCTAACGCCTGATGAGATCACATGATTCGCTGGAAATTCAATTGTGGCCTAATATGTAAATTAATGTACACTATGTAATCAATTGCTTTAAATTAATGTGCACTATGTAATCAATTGTTTTTTAATAAAAATCGAGTGTGCGCGCTCTGAAAAAAAAAAAAAAAAAAAAAAAGATGTCATAACGCAACGTAAAGTAACGTAACAAGAATGCTCTTGGGAAGTCGAAATGGAAGATTTGGTAAGGACCTGCAGTGAATGAGCTTGAATATGATATTGTTCATGATCTTTACTAATATTGTGGCAGATTATCGATAATGTGTAATGATGATCTGACATTTTTGAAACGGACATAGAATACATTTCTATATAATCCTTGTTATGAAAAAGTTCTTTTCGCAAACCAATTGATCGAGAAAAGATCAACTCTTTGTTAATGTTACGTAAACTAATTAAATTCCC